AGGGGTTCCATTTCCCCCCGAAAGCATCCACCCAATTCCGGCCAAACAGAAAGTAACCTCTTTGGTCTGCAAAGCCATGATGTGAGCTGGAAATCGACCTAGATCACGCAAAAGCCCAACATCAGGGGGCTGAGTCTCATTTTGGGGTAGCTTGCTGCACTCGAATTGTCCATGACACCCCCCACAATAAAGCTCTCTTGAAGGGTGAGGTTCAGGACCCTGAAAATGATGGCACGGCTTCATAAGTAGAACCGACCTGAAACCAGTACAGCATAGCCAGTTCTGTCTACTTCAAGCCAAACTGAACTAACACTAGATCCTAGGTCCTTTCAAGTGCAAGAAGTACCGCAAAATGACCCTCTTGTTCTGGAGGTTAAGAGAGTTTCCAGCCCCAACCTGATTTCGAGAATGGGCCCCTCAAGATGCAACCGCTCTAGCCCGCCAGTTCAGTCTCCCCCCCCCACTCAACCAGCACCCTCTCCCCTCACCCCCACCCCCCACTCCCCCCAAACGTCAAACCACAATCCCAACCCAACCAGCCCAACCTCTCAAGGCTGTGCTGTTCAGCAACTGCCCAACCCAACCTCTAACCCCAACCCAACCTCTACCCCCAACCCAACCTCTAATCCCAAACCAACCTCTAATTCCAAACCAACCTCTAACCCCAACCCAACCTCTACCCCCAACCACAACCCAACCAACGCCTAGGTGCAAACAGCTGCTCCAAATCTCCCCCACCCCCGGCCTCCTCCGCCGCGCTCAGCGCGCGCCTGGGGTCCGGGTGCTGGGTGGCCCCCAGCGTCGCGAAGCGCAGCATCGAGGCCAGGCGCCGCGACTCGTCGAAGCCCAGCGCCTCCAAAAGGCCTGGCGACCACCGCCCAAAGCCAATCTTGGTTGACGTTGGAATGGGAACAAAAATTTGAATCTTAGCAGTTCAGTGGGGATTTCAACCACTGAACCGCAATAAGCAGAAATGTAAAATGTGTCCCAACAACAAGCATGCAAAAGGCGATCCATGTGCAACCCATTGATGTTTTGTGGCCCAGCGTGCAACATAGATAACTCCCCCAAGCTGAACCATCCTACTGGCGGCTTTTTTGGGATAGGCTCCAATAAGTTCCAGAATCCTCAGCCCTGGTTCAGAGGCACATCCCTACCTGGCGAGGGCCTTGGAAACCATGCGAAGTGAAAGGGCTCCAACAAACCATCCATGGTCAGAGAAACTGTGGATGGACGAAATCCTGCACCACTTGGAAACCTGGAGAAATCATTGCTTGTTAAATTTCACAGGGGAAGCATCATTCCAGGGTTTCTTAGGTGGTACAGGATTTCGTCCATCCACAGAATCTACTGTTGGGACAATGTTCGTTGGATGCCGTGGAACCCAAAGATCAATTCCTTCTGGATGGGCAGGGGTTTGAATCTCGCCTTTGGGTCGTGAGATGGTCACATGGCATTAAACGACCGCTGGCCTGGGGTCATTGCTCGGGCTCGCCTAGGGGAAAAGTGAGATACGCTTATTGACATGGACAACTCAACGCATTGAGAGGGAGATCTCCTATGATATTATTTCTTTTCCCCCCGCTTTGGGGTTCCTTCCGCTTGGTGGCAGAGCAAAGCCATGTGGGCAGCGTACAGTGCACGAGGCAACCCGGACGGCCAACCACATGTGCAACGTTCAGAATATGCGCCGTTCAAGACTCGGGTTCTGTGGGACATTTAGTGAGTCCAAATGGGGAAAGCCACCATGCTGTCTATCCCCTACGGTTTCCTTATGGCGTCTACTAGTGCCAACCTAGAGGGAACATTTGGGAAGCCCAAGCTCAGAGCTTCCTAAAATAGGTGTGCCCTCCACAAGGGGGGCAACATTCACGGGATGTATCAATCCAAACTGGAACATCCGCGGGGAATCCTCGAACCAGCAAACAAGCACCCCCGAGTGTTTCCAACAGGGATAAACCTATCAGCCGAGGATGTATCAACAAACAACCTCCCATTCTTGTCGTAGGCTTTCTTGTGGAGAGGAGGTTGTTTCCTTTGGGGAGGCATCCGCATCCAAGAACAAGATGTGTTTACTGTTCACCCCGGCCGGAAAAAAGACGCTGGCAAATTTGATAGGTTTTCCCCTAATCACTGACGGCTTCCCTTGAGAAACTGTGACGAATCCCTATCTACTGCTGACCCTGGAGGACCACCGACCCCAGCCCCCCACCCCACCTCACCCCACCCCACCCCACCCCAACCCCCACCCCCACCCCCCACCCCCACCCCCCACCCCCCACCCCACCCCACCCCACCTCACCCCACCCCACCCCACCCCAACCCCCACCCCCACCCCCCCCCCCACCCCCCACCCCCCACCTCACCCCACCCCCCCCCCCCCCCCCCCCCCCCCCCCCCCCCCCCCCCCCCCCCCCCCCCCCCCCCCCCCCCCCCCCCCCACCCCCCCCCCCCCCCAGCAAGAAGGACCTTACCCAGACCTCATCTCTTACTACCCTCCCCGCGCCACACCAGCATATAATCAAACCACTCGCCAAAATCTATATAAAATGCTTCAAGTTATTCATTTTAAAGAATAACTTAAACCATTTCAATCAACCTCGCAACATTTATTGATATGTCCTTCACTTGATACATGGTCGCACCAAGAATAATAAATTTCTTTCTTCTTACATTTCAAACATCTAAACCACAACACGCCATTTACAATTTCTTTACTATCCGGTCGTTCCAATTTTTCACCGTTCAAACTTTTCTGTAAAAAATATTGATGGTTTAAAGATTTCTCGTGTTGAGACTTCTTACCTTTTTTAACTTCATAATCGCACAATTCGCAATAGTGAACCTGTTGCCGGTTTGCTTGTATTGTTGCTTTCCCTGCTTCGCTCTCTCTGTATTTCCTGTTCTTTTCCTGTACTCTGTCAGGGTGGTTCTCTCTGTATCTGCGTTGCTTCTCCCATACTTTTTCAGGATTGTTAATTCTCCATTGTCTTTTGGTTTCCTCTCTCTTCAATCTGTTTTGTTCTCGGCAGTAATCACAAAGTTTAATCATATTCTTAAACAAATCAGAAGAATATGTAGTATCACATTGCTTACATTTTTTCATATCGTCTTTCATCTCCTACCATAGTAAAAGAACATTTCTTTAAATGGTTTTAGGCATAATAAATATCAAGGTCTGGGTAAGCCACCTGTCCCGAAAAAAACCACCAAACAACAAACCACACAAAAAACCAAACAAGGAACATAACAAAGTCCAAAATATGAACATGTTTAAGATAATAACAAATTATCTTAACAATGCTGTTATTTAAACATATTCTTTAATGATTAATCTGAAACCAAATGATTGTATGCCAAAACAGTAAATAGACTGGTGCAAATGTTGAATGCCGTTCTTCAAATGTTCGACTGCTTCGCTCAACACTTTGTTAATATTGTGTTCATTTATGTTTATGTAATTATCTACATTCATCTCATAAGGACAGAAACTTATGCTTAAACTTGAAAACATGCCTTCTTTATATTCTCGCTCACTAATCCTTATTCTTATGTCTAAAAACACATCTAATTTGGCTTGAAAATCAGTATTATCTTCTACTTCTTCATAGATTAAACTTAATAACTCATTTTTTTGCTTGTTGATAATACTTTCAATGCTGTCCATTCCAAATGGCACTCTTCTTTCAATATCATATTCCCTTTTAACTTGTTTCTCTGTTCCTCCATTTATTAATTTTAGGTATTTGTATATTGTTTGTGGTTCAGTTGTTTTAATTTTGTAATTGGTCTGTATTCTCTTCAATGCTTCGTTATGACAACTGTTTATTTTTATATACTCAGGTTTGCCAAATTTAAAGGAATTAATATTGCTCAATATTTCAACAGGTAATTTATTAATTTCCATTCTCACTAATATATATAGGTATTATTTCTTTAAACCCTTTTAGTCTAAAACTATAATTTCAACATTTCATGTCGTAATAGAGGTTTGGGAAAATCACTAACATGATAATATTTCTGACCCAATTTAGTTTCTATTTTGGTTATTGTATGGACTGTCCTTAACCAATGACTGGTTCTCTCTTTCTCACTAATCGCTTTCTTTCTCATTATCTTGACTTTGTCCCCTACATCTAAATCAGGATACACACGGGTTTTTCTGGCATTCATTGATATATTCAGTTTCACCTCAAACTCATTCTTTTTCTTCCTTGCTTCTAATGGTGTCATTTTCGTAACGGAACTTACTAATTTATTATTATATGTCAATAATATTTCAAAATTGTAATCTATCCATTGTATATTGTTTTTACCTTTCTTTTCATCCGCATCAACTCTTTTAAAAAGCATATCTTTGTAGGTTCTAATAAATCTTTCTCCAAAAGCAGGGTGGCCTCTCGTGGTGTGTAATTCAATTTTTTCCTCATCAAGATAATCTGTAATGGTAGAACTAAACAAACTGCCTTCTTCGTCGCTGTATATCATTTTGGGTTTTCCGCCCATTTTCTTAATGCCTTCCATTATTCCTGCTAATACGTCTGGCGGTTGCTTACTTGCAATAGGTATTACAGTAGCATATTTACTAAATATATCAATTAATATTAATCCAATTCTAAACTTTTGATTTTCCAAATCATTTTTTGAAATAAAGAACAAATCTAACTGAAATTCCCAGAAGGCATGAGGAGCAACAAAACTATTCTGCCCTCGCATTTTCCTTTTTTCCTCAACATTCTTTTTAAAGAACTCATTAACATCGTCCGCAGTAATAGTTTTATCTTTCTGTCTGGCATCTTTCAAAGTTATTCCTTTACTACCGTATCCGCTTTTGTCATAGTAAATATCACTAATTGTTTTTTGTTTATCCATATAATAAATTAAGATTTATTATATTGATAATATTATTTATAATTTAAATTCAGGATAATAAGTTAATTGATGATTATTAAATTGTGTATATATCTTACGTCTGTCATGCATCAGTTCAAAAATAATATTGATATCTCTCACGGTATTTTTCACATTAAACTTTTTGCTTTCAATATATGATTTAATGTCTCCTTTTAAATCAGACCCGTCTCTCCTACGATTCAACAACATCCATAATATGTGGTTAATCATTTCATACTTTTTCTTACCGATTTTGAGAAATATTCTAACATAACTATAAGGTGGTCTTTCATACACAGTTAAAAATATCAAAATTTCATCTCCAACATTTCTATTATTTCTTCTTTCCAAATTTAAATGATATCTGATTAATTCTTGATTATTTCTCCATTCCTGACAAATTTTACATTCATCTTCTTCACCCAAAGCATAATCAATAATATTATTAACTATTCCATTAGGTAAATTCATTTTGTATAATTCCATATGTTCTTTTTTGAAGTGGCAACAGTCATAGCATTTCTTATTGATATAATTATTTACTTCTTGTTCCTTCATTACTCTCTACTATATATAGGTATTATTTCTTTAAACCTTTTTTAGTCTAAAACTAAGATTTTAATATAAAAAATATTAAAATCTTAATGAGCTGAAACATTACAATATACACAGAATGAAGTTGAATTATCTATATGGTGAGCGATTGAATTATCAAGGCGCTGACAAGTAAAATTGCTACATAATTTACCTTTCTTCGTTTCAAAGTTAAATGAAGTATTACACTTTTGGCATCTGGCGCGAAACTGTGATAAACACCATTCAGCACTAATGTATTCTTCCTCATTAATTTCTCTTTGAGCGCGACGGTCTTGTATCTTATAATTTTCTACTTTGTTTTTAAAATATCTCATTATCATATTTTTATCCATTTGCTTATCAAAGTCTGGATTACAATAAAATTTAACTTTCCT